TCCTTCTTACCCACCGTGTGCCCTTGCGCCGCCTTTACCCTCCTGCCTCCCCTTCTTCCCCACCGTGTCCCCTTGCCCGTCCCCACACACACCACCTACCGTGTCCCTTTGTCCCCACACCCCCCACACCCCACCCCTACCGCCACCACCACCACCACGCAGAGCCGCTGCCCATGCTGAAGCTCAAGGACTTTCCTCCCACCTCCGACTTCCGCCGCGTGCTGGCCCGCCACCACGATGACTTTGTGGCCATGCTGGGCAGGTGGGGGCCTGGCTGCGGGGTGCTGGGGTGGGGCTGGTGGACGTGTGGCGAGCGTGGTGGCAGCGGCGGCAGTCGTGTGCGGGCATGCGTGTGTGTGTGCGTGTGTGTGCGCAGCCGCTGCATTGGAGAGGCTGCAAGACCACTGCAGCGGGCCAGCTGGCGGCCGCGGTTGGCCCGTCCCGCCGTTTTTTCGCCGTGCGTGCTCTGCGGCTTGACCCTGCCAGCCGCCGCCTACCTGCGCCGCCCGCTCGCCCGTCACCCCACCCCCCGCAGCTGCATGCCCGCTTACTGCCACCCCACACACGGCCCGCTCAACCTGGCCACTCTGCTGCCCTGGTACACCAAGCTTCCGGACCTGGGGCCCAAGGGCTACATCGCCTATGGCAGGTGGGCGCCTGGGCCATTCCATGGCAGCGGCGAGGAGGAGGGCTGGCTGGCTGGCCTGCCTGCCTGCCTGCTTGCCCGCCGCCGCCGCCTGCTCGCCGCTGTATCGGGGTCGCGGCTCGTCGTGCCGCCGCCGCGCGGGCCTGGGGCTTGTGCTCCCTCTCCGCCGCCGGCCGCGCGCCCCCTCACGCGTCCTGCTTTGCATGCTGCGCTGCGCTGTGCTGAGCAATCCTGGGCCCTGCGCTGTACTGACCTGACCTGACCTGACCTGACCTGTGCTGTGCTGCGCTGTGCTGTGTTGTGCTGCAGGGAGGAGGAGCACGAGGGCGAGGGCGACAGCGTGACCAAGATGCACGAAGACCTCAGCGGTGGGTGGCGGCAGGGCAGGGCGGGGCGCGCCTGGGCCGCTCGCCACGCAGGGGGCGTGCCCCCTCACCTCCGATTACCGATCACTTGAGGCGGCTGCTGCCTCCCTCTCCTGTTGCGAGTGCACCACGGCCCCAACCTCGCCCCTTTGAACCTCCCATGGTCCTCCCATGCTCACACCCTCCCGGGCTCATGCACTCGCAACGCCTCCCCGCTCCTTCTGAACCACCCCCCCGATCCTCCCTCCTGCCGCAGACGCCATCAACATCATGATGCACACCCAGCACCGCCACGGGCAGGCCCCCGGCCCGCCGCGCTGCGGAGACCAGCCACACGAGGAGAGCGACGCCAGCTACGGCGGGGCAGGTGGGCCGCCGCGGCTGCTGTGTGTGCTGCGGCTGGGGGCTGGGGCAGGCAGGCGCGGGCCGGGTGCGCTTGCGCAGCCCTTGCCGCAAGGGGTGTGGGTACCGCCGCTGCCTTAGTTTCGGCAGCTGCGAGCGGGGGGGCTCCCGTCTCTCTGCCCATGCAGCGGCCCCCACCTGCCTGCCTGCCTCCACCCGCCGCCCTGCAGGAGCGGTGTGGGACCTAGTGCGGCGCTGCGACCGCCCGTGTCTGCGCAGGTTCTTCCAGGACGCGCTGGAGGGTGCGCCTGCTGGTACTGCATGCTGGTACTGCTCGTACTGCCGACGCTGCTGCTCCCAACAGCCCCTGCCAGCCAGCGGCACAGGCCCACCCCGGCCTGGGCCCGGCTCGCGCCTGCGCGCTGGCTGGCACGGCATCCGCCGCCACGTGCCACTTGCCTGCGCAACCAAGCCCCGCTGCTGACACCACCCTGCCCTGCCGCCCGCAGGCCGCATCCCGGGCTGCCCGCCGTTTGTGCACAAGGGGCAGCCGCTGCAGGCGGGGGCGGTGCTGGACGTGATGCACGACCAGTGCTTCATGCTGACGCGGCGCCACCGCGAGCTGCTGGCAGCGCCGCCGTACCGCGTGCACACATGGCACGTCGAGCAGTACGAGTGGGAGGCGGTGTGGATCCCGGGCGGCTGTCCGCACCAGGTGCGCCGGCGGCTGGTTGTGTGTGTATGTGTGTGGGTGTGGGTGGGTGTTAGGGCGGGTGGAGGAGGTTGCCACGTGTGTGTATGTGTTGTTAGGGCAGGCGGCGAGGAAGTTGCCGTGTGTGGAGTCATGGGGTTGCCGTGTGTGGGTGTGGTACGGCGCGTGGGTAGGAGGGCGCCCTGAGTGTGGGCAGCCGAGCGCCGCCACGGGCCCTCCGCCTCACCAATCAACACACCAATCCATGGCACGCACCCCGCTGTCCCATGCCGCCTGCGGGCCCTTCTGCCCCCCCCCCCCTGCTCCTCCGTCCCTCTCCTTCCCCACCTCCACCCCGCCTCCCATCCCTCGCATCTTGCCAAGCCTGGCCAACCAAGCCTGCCGCCTCCCACATCCTGCGCAGGTGCGCAACCTGCGCAGCAGCATCAAGGTTGCGCTGGACTTTGTGAGCCCCGAGGCGGTGGGGGAGTGCATGGTGCTGCGGGAGGAGTTCAGGTGGGCTGCGGGGCTGGTTGTAAGCCGGGCTGAAGCTGGTGCGGGCAGCGGGTTGTGCACACGGCACCGATGCTGGCGCCGCGCCGACGGCCTGGCGCCGCCGCTAGCGGTGCATGTCGCCTGTGTGCCCAACCCCACAACCCGCCGCGTACACCCACACGCCCGCGCCCCGCCTCGCGCCCCGGCTTGGCAGGCGGTCGGCCATGAAGGAGCTGGCACTGTGGCAGGCAGACAACCCTGGGCAGCGCGAGGCCGACATCGGCACCCGCCACTTTGCCGACAAGCTGCAGATCGGCAACATGGTGCTGCACGGCTGGCTGGCCGCGCTGGGCCTGCTGGAGGGGGCGGCGGCGGGGCTGGCCGCGCTGCCGCCGCTGCCGCCGCCGCTGGAGGCGCCATACGAGGACTTCGATGTGTGGGAGGCAGAAGTGGAGGGGCAGGGCTAGGGCGGGTGCCAGCAGGGTCGTGAGCAGCCGCAGCCGCAGCAAGCAGCGGCAGGGTCGGCCGCAGGGCCAGCTGCACCCAGCAGCAGGCACAGGGCGAGGAGCAGGCGCAGGGTTCCCACGTGGAGCGGGCGCTGAGCGCGCCCAGCCACCGCCCTGCCTTCGCCCATTCGCACGCGGCAGCGCGTGGTTGGATTGACACCAGTTGATCAGTTGATTAGTTGAACAGCATGACATGTAACCAGCCCCCGATGTGAGAGGGGAAGGGCAGCTGGTTCATGGCGCCCCTGTGGGGAAGGCGCCGGCGCAAAGCAATGTAGCGAAGTGCAGCTGCTCTCCGTGTGACGCGCCAGTGGCATAACCACATGCTGTTTCATCAACATATAGTGCCCGGCGTCCCAATAGGAAAGGCAGGGGTTGTCCGCGAAAGTACCCTCCACGTCAGCGCGTCTGCCTAAACCTGAGCGCATCCTCCTTTTGGTGGGGTTCTGCAGTGGCTGATCGCCGCACACACTGCTTGAGCGGGGTACTTGACCGTCCGGCGCCCGCATTCAGGGACTGGGGCGTGGCCGGTGCCCTGCGGGTGCAGAATACAGCCCCCGGCTGCCAGAGCGCGATCATCTGACAGACACGCAGGTGGGTTTCAGGCGGCAGCAAGCGCGCGGCACCCCACCCGGCATGCCCAGCTGCAGGGGTAGCCCCCTGCTAGGCGGGGACTCAGACGCCCTCAATGAGCTCAAGAAGTGATCGCAACGGTGCATGGCATTCATCCCGACAGCGCGGGCCGGCGTGCGGTCTGTGGGAGCAGCCCTCAGTGCTCCGCCGCCGCCGACGCTTGCCCCCTGCCCTTCGCCAGCTCCTGTCTTCACAGCACTTGCGTGTCTTGTCGCAGCCCCGCCCCCACACATGACCCACCTGCGCCATGGCTGCAGAGGGAGGATGGATGCGCGCCACGCAGCGCCGCGCCTGCTGCTGGCCCTGCTCGCCGCACTGACTGCGGGAGCGGTGCTGGCGGCGGCGGCGGCGCCTGCACCCACACAGCACGCATCAACCAGGCGCTCCCTCATCGTCGGCGGCGTGACTGCCAGAGCCAACAGGTGAGCAGGCGCCGCCCAGGCCTGCCGCCTGCTGCCTGGGCGGCACGGCTCAGCACAGCCTGCACATATGCTCCCCGGAACCACTCCCCAGCCTTGCCTCCTGCCCTGCCCCCTCCGCCCTCGCGGTAGGTTCCCCTACGTTGTGTCGATACGCCGCAACGCGCGCGGAGAAGGTGCGTGCCTCCCCTGCCTCCAGGCCGCTGCCGATGTGCTGCCAGCAGTGCTGGAAGCAGCCGCTAGCCAGCTGGCGGGGTAGCAGGCCTGGCCATGCATGCTGGCGGCCGCAGCCCCCACCGCCGTGCTCAACACTCCAGCTAATGCCTGTTCGGCACCCCACAGCCACCTGGCATCCACCTGTCATCCTCCTTCCTTCTTACGCCCTTCCTGCAGCTCACTTCTGTGGCGGCACGCTCATCACCCCCACCGTCGTCCTCACGGCAGCGGTGCGTGGGCTCCAGCTGCTGCCACACCCTGGCTCTCACCTGATGCGCCAACCAAGCGTCGCATGGAGTAAACCGCAGCCTGTCGTGGGCACGTCGGCAGCCCACACCGCCACCTGCCCACTCACCACTTTCCCTCTCCCGTCTCACTGCCCCCTCTGCCCCCGTCCCCTCCCCTCTCCTCCCCCTGCAGCACTGCTTCCACAGCAAGAGCGGCGCCCTGCTGGACTCGACCTGGACCCGCCCCAAGCTGCGCATCGGGGCGTACGATACCGCGGGGGGGCGGTACGAGGCGCGGGATGCCGTGGCCCTGCTGGTACCGGACGTGTTCAACTGGCGCACCAACAACTTCGACGTCGCCCTGCTGCTGCTCAAGGAGCCTTCCGCGCAGCCCACCGTGCGCCTGGCGCGAGGTGCGGCCGGCTGCGGGGTGCCGCGAGGGCTGGCTGGCTGGCTGGCTGGCTGGCTGGATGGGCGCGGTGTTGGGTGGGCTGGCTGCTGTAGAGCAGGGCGGTTTGGGAGAGGGTAAACGCCAGGAGGTGTTGGTCAGCTAGCAAGGAAAGGGTGGGTGAGTGTGCGGGCTGGTGCTGCCGGATTCTGGTTTGAATGCATGCCCACCCCCACCAAGGCAGCAGCCCCGCCAATCAGCTACCCAGCAGCCAGCCATCGCCCGCCCGTTCCCGCCGCGCAGGCAAGCGCAAGATGGACCGGCAGCGCGCGGGCGCCCCGCTGTACGCGGTCGGCTGGGGAAAGCTGGCCTACAACGGCGCGCTGCCCAAGCGCCTGCAGGAGGTAATATTTGTTTCTGGCTCGATGCGCCGGCCCCCAGCCGCCTGCGGCCATGCCGGAACAACCGCCATGCCTGCTGGCTGGCCGGCTGGCTCCCCTGCTGGGCTGCCGCCACATGCGGATGTCGAACCCGCCCCCGGCGTGCTCCCTCTCCCTGGCCTTGCCTGCCGCAGGTCGCCCTGGATTACATCTCTCTCAAGCAGTGCGCCAAGTTTGCCCCCAAGTTCGACTGGGCCACCAACAGCATGATCTGCGCAGGCGGGTGCTGCCGCTGTTACAAATCGTGTTTTCTATTCAGGTCCATGCGGGCTGCTGCGCGCGCCAGCACCGTTTCGGTGGCAGCAACACACCAGCTCAAGCCGGCTGCTTGCGCGGGCTGGGGCAGGCGGTGTGCAGGCGCCTGCTTGCTGCGGGTCTGCGCCTATGCGCCGTCCAGCCTGCTGCGCCACCCCCCACACCCACCAGCGGCTCTCGCCGCCTGAGCCACGCTGCCCCGCCACGCCACCGTCCCCTGCGCCTGCAGGCTCGCCCGTGTACCGCAGAAACTCCTGCTCCGGCGACTCTGGCGGCCCGCTCCTGCAGAAGGGGCGGGCCTCCAGCCGGGACGTGCAGGTCGGCATCGTGTCATGGGGCTGGAGCTGCGGCAACCGCAAGCCAGGTGGGGGCCCCGCGCGCGGCGGGCGGCGCCGCCGTGCACCGCCGCGCCACGCAGCGGGCGGCGAATTCGTGTCAACACCTGCGGCGCCCTGCGCGCGACAGCAGGGCCAAGCCGGGCCCGACGGCCGTGGCAAGGCTGGGGAGAGGCTGGGGCAGCGACAGCGGCTGAGGCTTCCTTCCCGGAGCAAGCGCACACATGCACACATGCACACATGCACACATGCACACACCCTCCCCTGCCCTGCAGGCGTGTACTCAGATGTGGCCTCTGTGCGGGGTTTCATCGACTATGGCATCAGGAAGCTGATCAAGCCTGCCACCCCCGTCAAGAAGCCGCTGGCCCAGCCAGGCAGGCGGCCGGTGCCCCAGCGTGGGCTGAAAGCCGTGGAGCAGTGGGCTGGAGCGGCGGCAGAGGCGGCGGCGGCGGAGGCGGCAGGAGGCCGGCCCGAGCTGGAGTCGTTTTGGAGGCGTGTTCCCTGAGGTTCGCTGTGCATACATTATACCAGAACCCCGCAGTCCCACTCTGCTTTTACATGTGCGTTCCTCTTCCCGTGATCCCAACTTGTGAATTCACGGTGTGGCGCTGTTGGGGTGGGGGCCTTGCAGACCGTGCCTGGGGAGGTGCAGCCCCAGCCGACGACGTGGACAGCTGTGCAGGCTGCTGCGCATCTGCGCCGCCGCCGCCGCCTCCCTCCTATGTGGCCAACATGCGCCGGTGCTTCCTGCGGGACGCCGCGGTGGACAGGTGGTCAGGCGGCATGCTGCGCTCCCCGCCGCCGCCAAACCCGCGTTCCAGCAGCCCTCCAGCCCGCCGCCGCCCTAAGCATCGGCCCCACCCATCCCTCTCCTCCCTCACCCCCTCGTCCCTCCCTCCCAGCGTCACCAGCTCCACCTCACATCCCTCCCTCCTGCCTGCACTTGCCTTCTGTGACGTCTGCATGCCCTGCTGCTATCCCCTTCTGTATTTCTCCTGGTTGGCAGCACTCTGTTGACATCATGACTGGTGGACTGCCTCATTTATAAACATCCTGCACAGCCAAGCAGGAAGCAGCGCATCGTTGTACACTGAAGCTGAAAGTGTCAGGGGGTGCAAGGGCAAGGTGAGGCAGCGCCGCTGAGCTACCCTGCAGCTGCGCAAGCCGCGGCTGAAGTTTCCCATTCCGGAGGTGTGCCCGCCTCCTGCGTCCTCCGTCCAACTGGGTTGTCTCCCAGCGTGCTGCTCGGCTGCGAGTGGCTCCGTCGAGACTTCACAAGTGTTGCGACTACGTCGATCTAGCAGGCGCTCCGTAACTCGCAACTGGCATTAATTCGAGCGCAATGAGGCAAGCAGCACGATGGAGCAGAGTGTTCGCCTGCTGTGTGGCTCCGCGGCCCGCGCCCATGCCTAGGCTTGCTCTTCAGTGCGCTGCACTTCAAGGGTTCAAACGCCAAGCGCTCACGAGGGTCACTGCTGCCTGTTCCTCGGATGCTTGCCCCGCCCGCCTTGCTGGCCATAGGCCCCGCGCGGCGCCGCCCCGGAACCCCCGCCGCCTTGCAGCATTATATCCGGCCTACAGAACTGGGCAGGGCGGTGTTGTGCAGGGCGAGCTGGACAAATTGGATCGTGCTGCTGACGGTCTGTGCCGCCGTGGGAGCCGCCGCTGGCGGCAGCGCGGGAGGCCGGTGAGCCGGGGGCAGACGCATCGCCCTCACCAGGCAGCAGCAGCCCCCACCTCCCTACTCACGTGACGCGTGCTTACGTGCAGGCGGCGGCTGAAGGGAGACGACGCCGTGCGCGCCGCAATCATAAACGGCGTGCGAGCCCCCAAGGGCCGGTAAGGCGCGCTGCAGCTCACCGCTGCCGCCCGTCCAGGCTCGGCGGCGGCGTGCTGGAGCCCCCTCCTGCTCAGCATGCGCTGCCCTCCCTGCACTGCCCTCCCAACCGCTGCTCTGCCTGCTGCCTGCAGGTATCCCTGGATGGTCTCTCTGCGATACAACGATGAATTTGGAGAGCACTTTTGCGGTGAGAACGACGCAGGGGCAGCCCGGCACTGCAACAGACACACATGCAGGCCTGTGCCCCAGACCTGTGCCCCACGTCTGTTGCCGGTGGGCCGTGGGCGCCCGCGCTGGCGCTGCAACCAAGTTGCGCAGCTGTTTGGCAGGCGGGGCTGCGCTGCACCAACGCGTGCTTGCGGCGGTGCGCCTGCCTGCCCCTGCAGGCGCCTCCCTGATCAGTCCCAACTTTGTGCTCACGGCTGCGCAGTGAGCACGGCTGCCGGCCAGCCAGTGCCCACCTCCTGCGCCTCATGCCTCGGAGCGCTGCTGCTGCACACAGCCTCTCCGCCGGCACTGCGTGTGAGCATTGCGGCTGCCTGCTGGCGCAGCCCCCGTTGCCCACGCCTCCCTCGCTTTCCCTCTGCCTTGCAGCTGCCTGCTTGAAGAGGACGGCTCGGATGCTTCTTCTGATCGATTCTTCCCCGAGGTGTAGCTTTGTTTTTAGCATGCGTGAAGGAAGGCATGAAGGCATGATGTGTCCCTCAGCACCCACCATCTCCATCCCCAAATAACCATGCACACACATGCCCTGCCTCGCCCCCCCTCTGCTCTGGCTGTGCAGGTCCGGATCGGCGGGTGGGAGATGTACGGGGGGCAGTACGAGTCGCGGTACGCCTGGTACGTCTACACACACGAAGCATTCGACCCCGACACAAACAACAACGACATCGCCGTCATCATGCTGGTACAGTACCTGCGTGCTGGGTGTATGTACATGTATGTACCTTGCCTGACAGTGCGAGGGTTGCTGCTGTCGCGGGGCGCCTGCCGGGTGGCCGCTCCAACGTTGGAAGCTGCATGGTACCCGTGCAGGACCGTCCATCCAAGAAAAAGCCCATCAAAATGGTGCCCAGTAAGCCGGCCTGCAGCTGCCGGTACCACCTTGCATCTCAGCCTCCTCGCCACGGCGACCTGCTGCCGCCAGTACACCCGCCGCTGGCGCCAGCGCGGCGCGCCCTGCTCCCCACCGCGCACCTCCCCCCGCCGCTTGCACGCAGCCAAGCCCAACCCGCCAGTCAAGCCTGGCTCTCTGCTGTATGCCATCGGCTGGGGCCAGACCAGCAACAACGAGGATGCGGCGGGACCCAGCCACCTGCAACAAGTGCGCCCCGCGCCCTGGCATGCGTGCGCCTCTCCGTGCCCAGCCCCGGGGTGTCCGGCCTATCCGTCGCTGCCCTGCTGCTTGTGCTTGAAATGTCAAGCCTCTTTCAGCTGCGGTTGCCACAGAACAGAGCACCGCCGTGCCGTGCACGTTGCGGTGCACCTGGCCCAGCCACCAGCCTGCCACTTGGTGCCTGCCCGCTCCACCACACACATGCCCCTGCCCCGGCCCCCCCTCCTTGGCCCTCCAATCGGCAGGTGAGCCTGGACCTTCTGTCCCAGAACGCATGCGCGGATACCTTTGGTGAATACCGAGACGATTGGAAGCGCACCAGCCTGATGTGCGCCGGCTCCAGCTGGCGCAAGAAAGACACCTGTTCAGGCGACTCGGGCGGGTGAGCGGTGGCGAGTGGTGTGGCCAGCAGCCCCCAGCCTGCTTTCAGAAAGCAGGCTGGGCGGCGGGTGTGCAGCGGCGAAGCTTGGTGCGGCCGGCCACAAATCTGCCGCGGCACGGCAACCCTGCATGCATGTGTGAAACTTTGTGAGGACAAACGCGGCATAGCTGACCGGCTCAGCGCCAATCCAAGCCAATTCCTTCGGGAACGCCTAATAGAATCGCCAAGGCTTCGGCACAGGCCTCCCCGGGACCCATTCACTACTAGTGGGGGGTACTGCACTTGGCGCGTCGGGCAGATCAAATAATGGTCTAAAGCTAGACGTTAAAACCGGGAAGTGAAGCTTGTGGAGGCTCTTCCCCACCTTTACCTTTACCTTTATGTGTGCCACGCAAGCCGTGCCCCTACCCCTGACCTTGACCCTCCTATCCCTCCCTTCCCCCACCTATGCGCGGCGCCTCGCAGGCCGCTGTTTGTGAAGGGCCGGAACGCCACGATGGACCGCCTTGTGGGCCTGACATCCTATGGCGTCGGCGACTGCGCTGAAAACCCGGGTGTGTACACATCAACAATCTCTCGCAGGAGCTGGATCGTCAACGCGCAGGCCGCGCTCCTTCGGGCGCGGAGGGAGGACGAGGCTGGCGGGGCGTTAGCGAGCGCGGCGGGGGCGCCGCACATCCGACGCAAGCCCGGGCTGTGAGCTGCCCCGCTTGCCGACCGCCTGGATGGCAAATGCCTGCGTGCCTCCTCACTTTTCTCCAACCACTGAGCACCTTCTCCAACTGTTTATCCTTGACTCAAATGACATGTGCCAGGATGGGCGGTTGCCCGCGTGGCTGCAGCTGTACCCACTTTAACCAAACTTTGATGCCATCGTGCAATACGCGCTGCAATTCCCTTCACTGCCCACCCGTGCACCCTGCCCGCCAGTGCTGGAAGCGAACAACATGGCCAGGCGCGGTGGGGCCTGGGCGCAAGGCTAAGTGCGCCCCTCCTCTCCGCGCTGAGCCCTCACAATGCGCCTGGAGCTGTTATTCTGGGCCGCAGCAGCCCTGCTAGTGTTTGCCGGCAAGTCCCCCGCGGCCCGGGCGACTGGGCGGCAGTCGCTGCGCTTTGTGTTGGTGCCCTGAAAGCCCTGGGGTGGGCATGCACGTGTCGTTCTACGCCCTCACATCGGCGCCGCCCCAGCTGCCGCCACCGCTGGCAGCCGTCCCGCCACACTACCAGCGGCACACAGCCCCCGCTCCAGACTCCAAGCGCCGGACGCGTGCAGAGCGGGCCTTATCCGGCCGCTGGCCTTGCTTTGTCCCTGCAGGCGTGTCGGCGGCGGGAGCCCCCTTGGTGGCGGCTGGGCGCAAGTGGATCACGCTGCTGGGGCGCAATGGCTGTACCTTGCGCGGTACGCTGCCTGTGGTTCTTTGTTCTTTTGTTCCCGGGTTATTTTGTTCCTTGTTCTGAACAACAACAACAGCAACAGGGGACAGGCTCGCACGGCACCAGCTCGGAGTGTGTTAGCATCAGAGCGGCCCCACCTGACACCGCCCGCCTGGTGTTTGGCGTTGTTTGAACCCCCGCAGGGCAGCTCAGCGGCAACCTGTGCACCGAGCGCTCCAGGTGCGGGCGGGCATGGACTGGCTGGCCGGTTTGTGTTGTGGCGCAGTGGGAAAAACGAAAAAAAGGGGAGGCGTGTGTGTGTGTGTGTGCACGTGCGTGATTGTGTGTGGGTGTCTCAAGCGGGGGAACCAGTCAAGCGGGGGAACCAGGAACCCTCCCACTGGCACGGTCGGGCCCCCCGCCCATCAGGCGCCCCCTCCCTGCCTCCCACCCACCTGGGCCGCGCAGGGCACTCACGCTGCTGTCTGCCGGGCTGGGCGTGCGGTCGACGTGGAGGCTGGCGCTGGCTTCCGGCCTGGCTGGGCCTGGCGGGGAGCTGGTGGGCAAGCCCGTCACCCTGCAGGTGGGTGCCACCAGCCCGGCACCGCCTCTCTGAGTGCGGCCCGGCTCGGCATCTCTTCATCACGCCATGCATGCGCCGGCAGCGGCGGCAGCCGCCAAGCCACAGCTGGGACGTGCCCGCTCGGCTCCTCGGGCGCCGGCCGTGCAGCCCCGGGCTCTGCCTGCGTCCTCGCGGCCTGCCACCGACCGCCCTGCGCCGCTGCTGCCGCCGCCCCGTTGCAGCTCACTGGCCGCGCCACCGGCTGCCCGGCGGAGAGCTACCTGAGCGGTGCGGCTGCCTGCGACAACACTTCTGCCTACACCTCGCTGCGGCAGTCCTGGGTGCTGGAGTCGGCGGGTGGCGACACCAGCTTCTACCTGCGCTCCAGCGTGAGCCCGGGGGAGGCGGGGTGGTACGGGGGTGGTACGGGGCGATATCAGGGCGGTACTGGGGTGGTACGGTGATATGTGGGGTGGTACGGGGGTGGTACGGTGCTACGCCTGCGGGACAGGGGCAGGGTGGCAGCGGCACGCGGCGTGTGCCCGCCCTGTGGCCTGCCTCAGGCTGAGGCGCCACGTCGTGCCCGCCTCCCCCGGTCACAGGCGAGAGGCGCATGCGGCGCAAAGTACCTGGGAGCGCTGGTGGCGTGCGGCGCAGCGGGGGACGACCCCCGCCTGGGCCTCTACCCCAAGGCCAGCCCACCAGACTCCTCGGTCCAGCTGGTGTGGGCGCTCACGCCGCTGCAGGAGCCGCCGCCGCCGTCGCCGCCGCCGCGGCCGCCGCCGCGCCCGCGCCCGCCGCGCCCGCCGCCCCGACCAAAGCCGCCCACCCCGCCCAGGCCCAGGCCGCCCAGGTGCGCTGCACGGCAGGCGTGCCTGGCATGCTGGCGCCGGCCGCCTGCCTGCCTGCCTGTCGGAACGGATGCAGCCAGCTCGGCAGCAGGGGAGGGGCCTCTGGATCGGCGCCTCGTGTCTCTCCACGATGGCTTCTCACCGTTGCATTCTTTGCGTTGCATTCTTTGCGTTGCATTCTTTGCGGGTGCTCGTTGCAGCCCGCGGCCTCCTCTGCCTCGCCCGCCGCCTTCGCCCCGACCCCCAAAGCCGCCAAAGCCGCCCTCGCCACGCCCTCCAAGGCCCCCGCCCCCCCCCCAGGCCCAGGCCGCCCAAGCCCCCTTCGCCGCGGCCGCCGCCACCCTCGCCACGGCCACCCAGGCCCCCGCCACCAAACCCGCGGCCCCCACCCCTGTGAGCTGCTGCAGACCCTGCTCTGTATCAAGGGCTGGTCAGCAGACACGTGTGGCATGACAAGAAATCTGCCACCACCCCCAAGCAGCACCCCTCATCGCCCCGGATCCCGGCAGGTGCCGCTGACACCGTGCGTGGCGCGGCGCTGCTCGCCGCCCGCTCATGGCCGCCCCCGCGCTTTCCTCGCCCTTGCTTTGCGGGATGCAGGTGCGACCCGCTGGTTCAGGTGCCCAAGAGCGAGGTGTGCCAGAACGAAAGCGCCAACCCCCCGTACGGGCCGCTGGAGTGCTGCTGGGGGCTGAAGGTGGGCCGGCAGGCCGCCGTCTGGCTGGGCTGCTCCCCTCTGCCAATGCCTGTGTGCCCCTGCACCACCCGCCGCCTGTGCTGGGCAGCCCTTGGCCCCGCCTGGGCACGTCGGCCCCGCAGCGCACGGCGCCGGCTCCGGCCAGCGTGTCGCCCCCAACGCACGCCTGCGCAGCATGCTTCCCCTCCGCCTGATGCCGGCCCGCTATCTCACTGGTCGCGCTGCGCGTGCTGCCACCCGGGCCGACCTCCGTTGCAGTGCGTGCTAGATATCAAGAGAGTCGCCAAGCGGTGTGCCTCGCCGCCGCTGCCGCCTGCCATCCTCGACATCTCTGCCAACCCCCAGGGTCCCCTTGCGTATACGCTGGTGGTGACCCTGGAGCCCACTGCCGACGCCGGCGGGACAGACATCGGTGAGTGCGGGCAACAGGCAGCGGCCCTGAGCACCCCCCATGCATGCGCTGCGGCGAGGGCGTCGACGGCGCCGTGCCTTGTGCATGCACCGCGGGCAGGCCAGCCGCGTGCCGCCAGCTGCCGGGCGCCGGGCAGCACACGTGCGTGTGCATGGCACATACGGCGCTCGGGCTGGCCCTCGCAGCGCTGGGCACCAGGAGCTCCCGCCCCATCCGTGCCTGCCGCCTTCGCCGCCGCCCACGCCCGGCCCGCCTCCTGGCACCCTGCCCTGCCTGTCGCAGGCATTTTCCAGTACCTTGCCACCTACGAAATCCTCGACTCTGACCTCCCGGGCGGCCTGTCACGGGTATCCGGAAATGCCAGCCTGGTGAGTGCCCCCCGCCTCCACCTCCCCCCGCCTGCGCAGCCTAGCCCCCACGCCAGGCAGGACCGGGCAGGGCCCCACGCCTGCCCGGCCACCCGCTGCTGCGCACCGCTCGCATGCCTGCCCCCGGCCCCGCCACCCCGACCCCCGCCTTGTTCCGTGCTCTCGCTCGTGCTCCTCCTGCAGCTTCAGCTCACATTCCCGGACATCCCTTGCGGCTCCACAGTCAATGTCACGGCCATCTCCATACAGGGCTCCTTCCCTTTCACCAGGTCTGAGTACCCATCCGTCGCCCTAGCTTCCACCCCCGCCTGGTGAGCCGGCGCCTGCAGCACGCCCTGCTGTCGCTTGTGTGGGCTTACAGTCTGGCTTCAGCAACAGCAAGCTTGCAGCACAGGCGGGGGTTTTGGTTCTGCCTGGAAGACGCCGGCCTGTATTAAGCCATACCGCAGCCAGCAGCTAGCCCTGCTCTCCCTGTGCTCTGCACAGACGGCACAGCCCGGCGGGGAGCCGGGTGGGCACCCCACACACGCTCGGCCTCCCTGCACCCCACCG